ATTTAAAGATTGTTTTTGTTATAATATTAAAATTTTCAGTTCACAGTATACCACTGTTGGTTTAGAGAAGTACAAACAATTGTGAAACAGAAAAGGGTTAAGCATTTAAGGAAAAAATGAATGTGAAAGTTAGCGACTGTGTGTTCACAGGTGTATCTTGTTCTTATAAGACCATGTCCACCAAAAATGTTTTGTAATGTTATTAATTTTTTTCCATAGACATATTTATACTGAAATGTATTTTTAATTAATGTTTTAGTCTTCAAAAATGTTAAAGAAATGTAATATAATACATAGAGAAATTAAATCAACCCAAAAGATTGACTGTATTTAGAACTCTTTTTTTTTTTCCACCCTCAAAGATCAGAGAAACTGATTTTGATGAATTATTGAGAATTTTACTGCCAAAGAAGTTGGTTTAATTTTGTATCTGTTCTAAAAATTCCCTAACATTTTATTTTTTTAACTCTGGTAATGTATTTATCACTGTATAGTATATCATATTTTATATAATGATAGATATGCTACACTGTGCATACAGTTTTCCATGTTTATTCACAAATGTCCTATAAAAAGAAATATGGCTTTAGATTTTTAGAAATGTATAAAAATGCTTCACTCACCATTTATGTTTCATGCATATGTATGAAAAAACTGTAGTATATTGACTATGCAGTTTTCAAACTTATGAAGTTTTTTATCATTTTAGTTAAATCAAAAATATCCAGCTTCTGCTCGTTATTACGGTGAAATTACTACTAAAACTACTTGTTTTTATTTCGCAAGTTGTAATTATTATTTAACCATGTCATTACTTGATATATCTCATATCATATTTTTCTGACCTCAATACACTTAAAATATCGGTTTATAATTTCCTGGCAATCAAAACAAAATCAGTTTGGAAATGACAACACTTGTGCTTGTATATCAGTTATCCTTTAAGTTTCCACTGTACTTTTTTTGGAGATTGTTTCATTTTTGGAGCCTTTAAATGATTTCCATCCACAGCTTTTCTTGCTTTTTTTTCCCTGTGTTATCTTTTATATCAGGGCAGTTGACAATTATGGTAGAAAAAATGTAAACTTTCATCTCCTAAAGAAAGCCATTAACTTGAGATGGTCTCCAATATTTTCAACCTTGTCAAATTTTGGGTGGAAACATTAGATTTCTGGCACAGTGTACTTAAAGTTTATTGATATGAAGACCCAACTATTGGCGTGACTTAGAAAAGGTTTTGATTTCTAAAGATCTGAGTAACTTTATAAAAAGTAAATGTTTTGAGTTGGTGCTAAAAACATATTTTCTGAATGCTTATACAGATTACCAAAAGATGTAACTGTAAGAACTTGTTTCACTTCTTTTTATCCATCAAAGATAATTATTGGTTGTTGACAAATATCATTATATTTCAGTACCATTGTCTCTTTTAGTGCTGGCTGAACCATTGTTTTCAGGAGGTATGTTACTGTTTGATAGAGTTACCTTGAATGTGAAGGTTGTTTTACGAAGTCTGTCAGGTCTTTTTTTTCCCTATACATCATACCATACTAACCACTTTATCTTATGAGTATGTCTCAAGAAGTGGTAGCAGATATTTATTATTAGATGTTCTTTCAAGGCTTCATCTAGTTACTGTTGTTATTTAGGCCTGTGTAATATGTTCATTTGGAAAAAAAATTCTCTGACAGTTGAGATATTTTTGTGTTTTTCTTTCTGACATTATATTGATCTTTATATTCATCAATATATTATTTTTACAAGGTGTTTATTACAGGTTTTGTTTGCCTGTCTGTTTGATGTATTTTTGTAATTAATGCAACTCACTATATGGGCCAGAACTTTGTGTGGAATACCAGGGATTTAAGAAAGTTCAAGGATTATGCACTTCCTCAGGTGTTAATAACCATGGTGTAAATTCTCACTGCAGAGAAGACTGTTTATTGCAAGTTAACTGTATGGGATTTTGGTAGCCCATAATCTTTTTATTTGTAAAGCAGATTACAATTCTGCACAATAGCTTTAGTGCATTTTTTGTTATGTAACTGCTTTGCAAATTTTGTCTACAGACCCACATCACTTCTAATTTCCTTATCTGGTCAAAAGTCTGCTTGACTTGAATCAGAATATTTTGTTTTCAGGACTAATTTTAGGTTTATTTACTAGTGAGCTATTTCTACATTTGTCTCAGGTTATTTGAAAATGTTTTTGATATTAACATGCTTATTCTTAGTCCTTATACCTTATTTTGTCTATCAGTGTGTCATTTCATCCTCTTCTGGAGATTGCTATTGGTGTCTCAATAATGACTCCTGTTGGCATAGTAAATTTAATGTGTTTGTAGCAGTGTATATTCAATTCATGAGACTATTGAAGTTCATTTTCCAGATGGAAATGTTTGCTGTAACTGTAGGATCCTGGAAAGTCATGGTAAATGAGCTCTAAAACTTTCCATACTGGAAGCTCTGGATTATGGATTTTCTTTCTTAAGTTGTGATCCTAGAAAAGTCCTGAAATTTGAGTTTCTTCAAAAAAATCCCCTATGAAATAATCGACTTAATTTAACAAAATTTAAGAACGAACCACTAAGCTTGTTATCTGAATCAGGTTTGTTCATATTTTATGATGGCAATTGTAATTTTTTGCTTTCTAGGAGCTGAGACTGTTGCATCTTCTGCTGGCAGGCATGTTTAATGAACTAAAATGCCAGAAAAAGGCAAGTGTAATCTTGTGTGGCAGGATTTGAGAATCTTAGAAATTTGAGTATGGTTCTGGAAAAAGTCAGGAATGTTTTTTTTGTAAGGTGTGTATGAACTCTGTAGGAGGTTTTTGAGCTTGTGTGGCTTTGGCTGTTATCAGTATGTAAACAACTTAAGTGTCTGGTGTCCTACAGTAAAAAGTTGACATTTACAATGATCCACTGGAATTTATAGTCATCTGTTCACCTGTTTAGCACCTTTGGACCATACTTATACAAAGGAAAACATGTAGTGTGTACAGTTTGAAGTGAATGAAATTTATTTGCTACCAGCTGTAAAAAGAGCCTGTCATATATCAAAGATGAAATACTTGGTGGTAACTTTTTTTATCGGCTTCTGTAATTTCTAATGATGAGAATAGACTACATAAACTAGCTTCTAAATAGAAATAACTTCTGTGCAGTACTGTCATACATGTTTAATTTTAGGGAGTAGGCATTTTCTCTGCCTATGACTTGATGATATTTTGGGCATCAAACTTAGTCATTGTTGAAGTCATGAAGTGATGGAGGGAATTAATTGCACATTTGGTAGGGACTAAATAGTCTTTCATAAAAGTTCTTTCAGTATCTAACAAGTAGTAAAAGTGATTAAGTGGCGAGTTTTATCTTTGCATCTCAACCATGCTCTTATTATTTTTGTAGGATGCCACTTGTTTGTTGGCTTTGATCATTTGTATGTGGTTAAGGGTTTATTACTTAAATCCTTTATTATTTCTTTATTTGATATTGTAGGATTACTTCCAGTACTGCATAGTTCCATTCACCTTACAATGGTGTTATATTTGATAAGGGTTAAGCAATGACAGTTTTTATTATTTGTTTTGAGTCTTTAATATGGACTAAAGCCTCTTCCATGTCAGGCTATTCATAAAGGTGATGAATCTCTTAACACCTCATCATTAGTTTTTCATGTATAAGTAAATTGCCTAATTTCCTTGGCCTTTCTTTACAGTGATTTTCTATATTTGACTTAGATTGGCTACAAATATAGTGGACTTAGCCTTGTCGTTATATATTTTTGAAATCCCTTTCCTAGTTAGGAAGTTTTTCATTTGGCTCATCTAGTAGCTGTTATGGAGCTATGCTGCTACCAGCTTCTCAGTTTTAGTGGTTTTGAATCATATTCTGCCAAGGAACACCAAAATTTATTTGATTAATATATTAACAGCTGTATAAGATTTGAATTATCTCACGTAAACAAACATCAGAAACAAAAATATATTCCAGAACGTTAATTCAGTATTGATAAAAGAAACTTACAATCCACCTGTGCATAACCAAGCTGTTTTGGATTTGAACTGAATCTGCTTTTAAATTTATAGAAACTTAATCAGAGGTAAATGGAGAAATACAAGAACAAAGTAACAACTAAAATTTAAGTGTGGATTCTTACCATATCCAAACCTTATGAAGTATAATTAGATTTAATTTTCTAGTGAAAAGGAAATAAATAAATAAATAAAAAATGCATTTACAAACAAATATCTAACACTAGGGCACAAACTGTAAGTTGTGTCATTATGTAATGAGTCTGGTTTTTGAGGTACTGGCAGAAGTAAGATCCAGATTGTATAGGGGTATTCCATCTATCTGGTTTAATATCAATTTTGCTACTTCACATGCTTAAAAAAAGAAAGGAAGAGATAAAAAGGAGCAGATGTGTTCAAGCTCACAAGGGTGTAGGATGGGAGCTATATTGAAAGAAAAGGTTGGGTTTAATATAATAGTACTATAACATCTTAGTTTTTGTGTCCAAAGAACGTTTTGGGGCTAGAATGTCAGTTTCAGGACAGTTTTGTTGTCTTTCTCAACTGATGTATAATACTCTAATTATTCTTTTTCTTTTTTTCTTAAATGAGAGCAACCACCTTTCCACTTCTGGTAGCAGATAGTGAAAGGTGGTAAAGATGTGGGACATTATGGGCTTGAGCATCCAAATATGCTCCTTTTCTCTTTCTTTTTTTTAAGCATGTATGTCCAGGAAAATTGAGGTTAAACTGGATAGATTGGGTACCTTCAATACAATTTGGGTCTTACTTCAGCCAGTACCTCAAAAAACTGGGGCAAATTATGTAATGGCCCACCTTATAGTTTGTGTTCTGGTGTTGAATGTTTGTTTTGTGGCAGCATTTTTTTTCCCTACAGGAAGTTAACTCTATCTGATATATTTATATACAATTTCCAGTCTCTTGACTATTTTCTTTTTAATTTTCTACTAAATCTACTCTCCACCCCACCCCCCAAAAGAAAATTTTACAAATGTGTAGTGTTATATTAGAAAACTTATTAAATATGGCAGAATTTCTTTCTTGTGGTTTGTATTGCCACAATACACTATATAATCTGGTCTCTGCCAAATATATGGCACCATCCATCACCAACAGGTCTTGGTTGGAAAGGTTCAACAGAGTCTTGTGTAGTGGAACCTTGATTCTGTTTGTTCATTTACAGTGGTTCATTAGTTCTGTCTTTATGTAAGAGGGGTTATTCTTCTGTTGTTATGTTTGTGGAATAAAATTATGAAAAATGTACATTTTTGTTCAGTACCAACCTATTCACCTCTGACCATTGTAGGAGAAACATTTGCCAAAGTATGAGGAGAAATTTCCAGGTGAAAATCCAAAGAAATGGAATACAAAAATTACTAAAGCATTAGAAGACCTTTGTGAACAATTAGAGAAGTGCTATGGAAGACAAAAAGTTTATGTGACAACTAGTAGGTACTTTTCAAAATTTACTGCTGACATTAAACATGCTATTCAAGAAGGCCTGCATTTCTCAGAAAGTGAAAAGATTTCACTTCCATCTGAATTGCTGTTGGCTGAAACAGGTCAAGAAGAAAAGTCTTCAAACTCATCTCAGGTCCTCAGTGAACTTCAAGGAACAAAGGAGGATTCAAAGTCTACAACAGTGGATAAAAATTCCACAGATTCTAAAATTACAAATTCCTTGAAGGAACCTGAAGGTGTATCTGGCTCTGACTTTCAAGAAAAAAATAAATCTGTTATAAATAGTAGTAGTGATAGTAGAAAAGAGCCTGAGTCTAGAGACACTGAGGAATATTTTGAAAATTCATCTAAATTGTTGAAAGATAAAGTATCAACAAGAGAATTTTTAAAAGAGCAAAGTAATGTGCAGAAAAAGGAGAATGAACAAGAGCAGCAAAATTGGAAAGCAGTCAAAACTGACTCTGCAACAGAAAAAAATGATTTTCAGGGTGATGGAAAGTTGTTTGTACATGAAAATCAAGAAAGTTTCAGTACTTTTACAGGTCCGAAGAACAAAGAACAGAATAAGGGTATCATTCAGAGTAACAGAGAACTACAGAAAAAAGGCGTATACAAGGAAGATGATCAAATGAATAAAAATGCTTTTCAGAGTAAACAAGATCATCAGCAACAGAACAAGGATGCTTCTGAAATAGATACTCTTCAAAAAGGTGTGACTAAGGACATTTATCAAAGTGTTGGAGACCAGCAGAAAGAGAATAAAAATGATCCTTCTGTTTTTGCTGAAAACCAAGAAAAAGAGAGAATTAATGATGTTTCTAGAAGTGACAAAAATCTGTTTAAAGATGAAAGAAGCAACACAGAACCAAAAAGTGATGTAGATCAGCCAAAAGAGAAAAGTAAAGATGGGCTTAAAAGTGTTAAAGATAAAGAAAATGTTGAAAAAATTAAGGGTAGTTCAAGAAAAACTAGTATTCAACATAGGGAACAGGATGAGATCAACAAGGATGCTAAAAATGACATGAAACACTGTGAAAAGGATGTTAGACAAGGTCAAATAACAGGTAATTCTAGAAGAGAAAAAAAAGATTTACCCTGGCAGCATGATAGAAATGATCGTAGTAGAGAGAACAGAGATAGATATCAATTTCAAATGAAAAGAAGAAACCATTCTAAAGAAGATTCTCCAGCTAAAAGGCGGAGGAACAGAAGTCCAGCTAGTGTGAACAAACCTGAAGAAATGAGTAAAGACTTCAATATTACAAAGAAGCAGTCGGATTTTCAGAGAGGAAATGATTACAGAAGTGCCTGCAGTGACAGTAAAGGCAAGTATACTATTAATTTAGATAGTCAGTACTGTTCCATTTATTTAAAAATATTATTACATGTATATATTATATTAACATACAGAAATGCATACCATTCATGGACACTTGTTTTCTTCACCAGTACAATGTACTTTATCTGATTCTTAAGTTTGCCTACTCTTCTAGTTATAAGTGTTATTTTGTTGTTTATGTTTAGAAAATATTAGTGTATGACAAAAGTGTTCAGCACATTCACATATGATGCAGTACAGATACAAAACAGGCATTTTTATAAGGCTGTGCATTTTGCTGATTTGTAGTCTTCACAAATATTCAGCAGCTAACTCAATATTTGAAGATTTTGTAAGCTTCTATAGCATTATTAGCTCATTACTGATATGTATCTTAACTGCATACATATATGTGACACAGCAGCTGCAAACTTTAGTACAGGGGAAAGCTTTGCATGATAATTACCCAGAAGTGTAGCTTGTCTATATATCCTTGAGATGTGATGCTTTCTTTGTTTAATAATTGTGAAAAATGGATATCAAGTGGCAGTAGCATTGTAGTGGGAAGTAATTATTCTTGAGCCAGACTGTCTTTTTCCCACAATACTTGTGCAACCACACTCTTTGCTCGGCCTTGACTACAATTATTCATAAGGATAACATATTTTGCAGTTATAGCTTGTCTTAGTCTTATCTCTTTAAAGACATTGACAATTGTGTTTACAGCTTTAAAAACTTTCATCTGTTTTTAAACTTTTGTATCTTGTCTTTCTCTTCCAGCATCAGAAAAACCCATATTATGCACATATATATATATATATATTGCAATTATTGTATATACATGCTTTGGGCAGGCATCTTGATGCCTGATAGCTCAAGTAGGTTTTGTTGATTGGGGCATGTACCTTTCTTTACTTTTGGCTCAAACAACTCAAACGTTTTGGCAGTACCATCACTTTTATTATTTAAAAACTTCTCTGCAGTACTTTGTTTCTTAAGTAAATTGTACTTAGGTGCTGCTTGGGACAAACTTATTTATTTCAGTGAATTTGGATCACAGTGATCTGGATCATGTTTTTGTGTTTCTTTATTGTTCCTGAGAAAATGACCTTGGTTGGGGGTCTAATGTTTGAATTGTTGCTGTTATTACAAAAATTGCAAATTTTGGTAGATCTCTGAACAATCCCATGTAACTGGAAGGCTATTCTGCATATGATATCCTGGTCATCTGGCTATTTCAGCAGTACCTTTTCTGTGCATTTCAAGAGAGTGTGTTTTATTTTGGGTGTGTTGTATAAGTCCTTAGTCCATACAAGTTTACTGAAGCATTTTACTGCAGGATTGCAAAAAAAATTTGCATTATTCGTTGATGACAATAAACACATGATGCCAAATTGAAATATTCACCAATTCAAGTGAATTCCAAATGCATTACTGACCCAAAAAAAAAAGCAGTATTATTTGAAAGTGCTGCAGTAAGAATGTGAGTATTTTGTATCATTAAATAATGCTATTTTAACATAATAAAAAAAGAGTTATTACTTGTTAGTATTTCAAGTACTGATTATTTTTCATTTATTATAGTATGGTTAATGTGGATGAAACTGTTAGCGATAGAGCTGCTATCAGAAGATATTGACTACAGAAATTTATTGAACTTGAAATGAATGTGCCTTGAATACTGATTTTTTTTTGTATTGCTTTGGTCAACATGAACATAATTTCTTTTTCTCGTCCGTTAATGTCTAAAATCCCTCAGTGGGACAGGAGTAAGCTTACGGACTTACAATGCTAAAATTCAGGGTTCATTTTTCTGCAAAGGACACAGAAAATAGCCCAATGTAGCTTTTCTTTAAAAACAACATCTGAAACTTGGTTATTGTTTAAAAAAAAAAGTTATCAGTATTTATCAGGATAGGAGATAATAGGTACAGTAGTGTTATTTATAGGGTATTGTTACATACATTTTTGGAGGATGAGATGAACTGAATTTACACTTGTATGAATTGTGCACCTACATTAAAAATGTGGTTTTAAGTGCACAGATAGTATTTGATTGAAAACTGAATGTCTAAATTTATTAAGTATAGCAACCGAAAGTGTCATCTGCTAAATTAAGTAGTAAGCTTGCTGTTGTACTATTTTTTTAAAAATAATTAAACACAAGTATTAATGAGATTGCTTGATCATTAGCTTATGTTAAGTGTTAACTTCAAGTTAAAAAAAAAAAAAGATTTATTTTGTTAAGGTATTCCATGGTAAGTGGAATGAAGATTCCACAATTACATTTTTATTACAAAATATCTGATATTTCATAATTGTGGTTTCATAATCAAATCTAGAACTGACTACCAGAAAAATTAATATTAAATATTTTATTCATTTTGTGGTATAATTTTTTAACACCACAAAGAAAACTAAATTAATAATTAAACATTTCCCAATGGAGAATTATAGGCATGCTATGGTTATATATATATAAAGTACATGTATTAATCAAAGAATGTGTGTGTGTGTGTGTGAATTTTTTACAGTGTCTGAAGGTTATAAAGGTGAATTGTCAGAAAAGATTGCCAGCCAGATAAATCAGAGAGGAAAACATCTGAGAAACTGGCAAGACAGGCAAAGTTTCAGACTTGGAAGGACAGAAGATTCTTTTTCGAGTCCACTGAAAATGGGGCAGTTTGACAAAGGAGAAAAGCTGAGTGTCAATGCCAGTGGCCTTCCAAACAGAAGTAACATGAGTACCATGAATAAAAATCAGCCTATTTCTGATAGAAGGACAAATGTTTGGGAAGAAGGAGACAACTCAAAAAACTATGAGGATATAGAAATAACAAAAAGAAGACGTGAGACAAACCATTTTTCAAACATTGGTGTCACTTCTTTGCAGCAGTTTGAAGACACAAGGTTGATGCAGTTACATCGGAAAGGTATTCTTGGTTCTTATGCATCTGCTAGTGGGCTGCTTCAAAATAAAGAACATAATGTTGGCCCATCTATGCATCTTAGCAGGAAAGATATAGCTCATTCGATAAATAGTCCACAGAGTAGTGGAAGGAAGAGGCCATCTCAGATGGCTAAGAATGTGGTACCAAAAAAGTTGCAAGCATCCCAGATGAAAGCCAGAACAGAATTGCAGTCTTTTTCAACACCAAATATAGGATCTTTCATCCAAAGTGGTTATTCTTTTGATAATTTATCTGTCAATGATTACAGTGGTGCAAATAAAGAAGAAATTGCTAATCATCTAGCTTCTGCCCTAACAGAAAAAGGGATGACTGACATCCCAGACCACAGATTGGTTTCTTTTCTTCGGGAACTAGGATATATGAATCAAAATAACCCTATCTCCAATGCCATGTCTTATACAGGTGTTGAAATGAATGCAGATGAGTCATCATTTTACAGAAATACTCCCCACTGGCAGAAAAATTTTGTCTCCCAAAATAATCGGGATATTTCAGGTATTAGCCAAAGAAAGAAAACATTCTCAGAATTAGGTATGACATCATTAAATGATTCTACAAAGCAACACTTTGGTGTAAGAGCTCAAACATGCTTGAATCCAGAATCCAACTCAGCTATTGAGTCGATGCAGTTGTCAAGCACATCACGTGATTCAGGTAACATTTATAGAATGCCAACATCTAAGATCCAGACTCGAAACCAGCAAAATCCAAGACAAAGTCAGAAACAACCAAAGCAACAAAAGAGAGATTTGAAACAAAAAGGCCAAAATATCAAAGCCTCTCAGTGTCAGAGGTCTGAACCACCAAAATCTTTGGAGGATGAGGATGTTTCATATTCCAAAACTAATGAAGAACAATTTGTAAAAGGAAACTTTGAGATTGCAAGAGAAATGCTGCCTTTACAGTTTGGAAAATGCCAGGACAGCCAGACAGGGACTCTGTATAGACATTCCCAAAGGAAAAGGAGATCTAAGAAGCTGTCAAAAGAAAGTTACAGACAAAGTGGTAAGGCTTCTGGATCACCTAAAGAAAATACAGAAAGAAAGACAAATATAACATCCACTAATAATGAAGAATTATATACAGCAGAGAGAAATCAGAATGTGAGACTACTTGAAGAAAAGCTGCCATCACAGTTTGGGAAAAATCAAAGTGGTCAAAAAAGACTTCTTCACAAACAACCTCAGCAAACAAAAATATTTCAAAATTACCCTCGAGATAAATCCCAATCAAAACCCACAACATTTGGGACTTCTTAAAGCTTTCAAGGATTCAGAAATGACAACTAGTGGAGCAGTCACTGTTAATGAAGGACAGCTTGCAAGAGTAGGGGCTCGGAAGTCAAGATTTTCTGAAAACGTGTTGCCCTCAAATTTTGGGGAAAATCAAAATGTACAAGCAAGAGCATTGTACAGACAGTCACAGTGGAAGAAAGGCAAATTTGAGAATGATTTTAGACCATCTGAAGACAGTACTGAACAAACAAGTAGTTTATTATCCTCTAATTATGAAGGATTATTTGCAGGAAGAAGTGGAAATCAGAACTTGAGAGTCATTGAAGATATGTCACCATCACGGTTTGAGAACAATCAAAGAGCTCAAACTAGAATGTTATATGCACAACCTAAACAGAAAAGTGAAATGCATACAAATTTCCCAGAGTCCAAAACTGATCCAAGTTCTCGGAATTTTGGATATAAGATTGAGGAGCATTTAGATGGGAAGTCTAGTGAAACAGCTTCTTTTTATAAAGGGCAATTTGCCAGGGGAGGGGATTATAATTCTAGATTTTCAGAAAGTTTATTGACATCACGCTTTGAGAAAAATGAAAACAACCAAATAGGGGGGCTGTACAGACAGTCTGAACTGAAACAAGGAATATTACCAAACCCTCAAGGTGTATATAGACAATCAGAACTGAAGGCCTCAGAAAATAATTCCAACCAGAGTCATCAGAGTTCAAGATCTCTTAAACGAGAAAATATCTTAAGACAACCAACCAATTTAACTACTATGGTTGAGGAAGGATTGTTTAGAGGGAGACAAAATGAGAAGAAAGTTCCTGAGGAAAAGCTATCTCCACAATTTGGGAAATATCCGAGAGATCAGAATCGTAATCAGTACAGACAATATGAACAGAAAAGTGGAATCCTGCAAAATAATCAAGAATTTTCTCAAAATACCCGTAGTTTTGGACCATCTAGATTTGAAAAGAACAGATCAGGAATAACCAGTGGAAGAACTAATACCAATCAAGGACAGTCTACCTGGGAAAGAATCCAGAACCTGGCTTCTTCTAAAGATATGCTTCCAATGCAAGCTGGAAAAAATTCGAGTAGCCAGATTAGAAAATTTGCTGAGAAAGAAGGTAACTTTCAAAGTAATTTAGCAGACAGACCCAAACCACACTCTCAGAGTTATGGATTATCAAAATATGATGATAATCTATTAGATACAACCAATGTAACTTCTGGCTTCTATCAGAAACAATTTGAAGGAAGAAGAATCATGAACTCAAAATCTCAAGAACTAATGTCGTTACAGTTTGAGGATAGTCAAAGAGAGAGTGTAGGAGGTATGTACAGATACTCTGATCTAAAAGAAGGAAATTTTCATATTCCACCTGATGGCAGATCTAATCAAGGTCGTAAGAACTTTGGTACATCACAAAAAGTTTACCAACAAGAAAGTAATTTAGATGACAGCAAAGTAAATGATCAGAAAAGGTCATTTGAAAGGCAGATAAATAGAAGTGGAGGCTCTTTGCCATACCAAAAAAATACATGTAATCCAACACTTTTGTATCCTTTGATGAAAACTGGAATTGTTCAGTATCCATTAAGAGTAGGAATATCACGACAAAACTATATGAAAGACCAAACTCAGCAGAATAGCCCTTTTGGAATTCATAAGGAAGATACTAAAAGAAGATGGGATGGGATATCCAAAGAAGGTAAAAGGACCAATTCTCAAAAAGGCTCATATGGTCAGACCTCTCAAAACTGAAGTGCTGTACATTTATTTTCTCTTCAGAGCATACTCTCTCACATGGAATATTAAAATAGTCAGAGAAATCAATACAATTAATATTTTGCAGCAAAACATCAAGTCTGGTATTAAAATAAGAACGTTAAAACAAGTTCAAAATTTCCATGATTGTTTGGTTTTCTTCAGCTTTTTACATGAGAATTTGGGTGCAAGCATGAAACTTAAACCATGGTGTTGATGTTACTGTGTTTTTTTGTGCTAAAGAATAATATCAGAACATTTTGGAAATGGACTAATGCACATATATATGCTATAATAAAGCCAAAAACTTAATTAGATCTTACATTTCTGCAGATGTTTTCAGAATTATCCAGAAGAATAGATTTAAATCTTGTTAGTAAACAGGATCACTAAAATTCTCCACAGAACTGCACCTAATTGGTTTTTCTTATTTTTTGTTATTGTGGTTAAGTATGATGGTTGTGTTTATCTAAGTTAAGACTTGTATTACTTCTACAGGAAGTTCATAAACTGGCATATTTGTTTAGTGGTATGCAATTGAAAAAATAAGTCTTACAAGTTAGCCTTCATTGTTTTAATCAGCTGATTTAGAATTATATTTTTAATTTGGTATGAGGTTAGATGAAAACTCATAGTTTCTTGGGAGTTCATGCAAGGTCTCTTAATAAAGGAATTTATTGTATTACACTCTTTTATCATTAAAATATCGAGGTAATTTTTGTTAAGTTTACTTACCACTTTCATTAGATTGACAGAAGTTGCTTAAGAAATTTTTGCATCATTATATAAGAAGAATCACTAATGATAGAGATGTATCTTAGACCAGTTGTATGTGATGGTAAATGTACTATAAATTTTGTGAAACTGGAATGTGAGGTCATACATATGTCTATTGCAAGTCAAAATCAATGACTAAGAATTGAATGGAAAAAATCATTTTATGGAGTTGTATGTATACTTGTTAAAAAGTTTTAAACCCAAACAAGCATATTTCTGGGATATTAATATCTTGAAATATTGTTGAAAGGAAAAATGTAGAGATATGTATCTTAGTTGCAAGAACTTTGAAGTTAATAGATTGTTTGTTTTTACTCCTTTTTTCTTGTCAGTTTTGTGGAATCAATTTCATGCAAGTAACTTTTTAAGAGTGGTATTTTACAGGAAATCAATGTCAAGTCTATCATTATATATGTGACAGCATACACTTTATAGTTAATATTTTTATGTGCAACTGTTTGTAAATCTCTGGAGCTAATATGGGATGAATTAAAATGTGTTTTATGTTTAACTTCATAATCATATGGTTAATGTGGCAGTGTAATGATCAACATTTCTGTTCATTTTTTGACTCGGTGAAATTCATAGTTATCACAAGAGATCCTATTATGGATTATTAACCCATAGTTTTAGAAAGAACCAGTGCTGAATCCACCTGTAGTTTTACAACTTGAGGTATTTTTACCACTTGAAATCTCTCATAATTTTAAGAATATGTCCTTAGAAATGGAAATAATACCATCTCATAATTTAGTAAGAGTCAAAGAGCTCATTAGATTTTTGAATATAAAATGTGAAGAAAGAAAAAAAGAAAACCTAAATATTGCCCAGCAGACTGGACTGAACTTAAGTCCTCAGTGTTTTGGACTTTTTTATAGTTAGGGAACATTTTAATGGGAAATATAGTGGAGTGATTGCTATTCAGAGCATAATTTTCAGTCTACATTTTTACAAAGCATATTTCCATCATACTTTGAAAAAAAACCCAACCAAATAGGAGGACTATACAAAGAATATGAACTGAAAGGAGGACCATTATAGAACACCCAAGGCTTGTATGAATGTTTAGAACTGAAGACTTTTTAAAATAGTCTTAATCAAAGTTTTCAAATTTCAAGATCACTTAAAGTAAGAGGACAATCTGAAACAAATGGCTGATGTAATTGCTACTGTTAATGAAGGATTGTTTATAGGGAGACTAAACCAGAACTTTAATAAAGAGATCCTGAGGATAAGCTAACATCAGATTTTCTAATATATCTAAAAAAAAAAAGAGAAGAACAGTTATTACAGATGATATGCACAGAAAAATTGAATCTTGCAAAATAGCCAAGGACTTTCTGGAAGTTGAGTTTTAGACTATTTAAATGTGAAAAGAACATCACAAGAATAGCCAGTGGAACCAATATTATCCAAGAGCAGTCTACTTGGAAGGAATTCAGTACTTGGTTTGTTAAGGTGCACATCCATTATAGTTCTTAGAAGAAATTAATTGCCAGATTGGAAAATGTCTCTGGAAAGGAGGTAACTTTTAAAATTATTTAGCAGACAAACTCAAACTATACTTTCAGAGTTGTGAACTCTCTGAACATGATTACAATCTCTTAAGAAATAGCTGTTGTTGTTAGAAGAAAGAAAGAATCTGAACTTAAGACCCCAAGAAGTACTTTCATCCCTCACACTTTGAGAAAAAGCAGAGGGTCAGTGTTTGAACTGGTGACAGATTTAGTCACAGTCAACAAAGAATTATTTTATATGATAGCTAAGGAAGCTTATTTGGAAGGCAGATAAGCAGAAATCGAATATTTTTGTCATTTGAATAAAATACTTGTAACCAACTCCTTTCTATCCATTGATAAAAATCAGAATTGTTTGGTATCCATTTATCTCAGGAATGTTATGATAAAATTACTTCTTAAACCAAACACAGCAGAATAGTCCTTTACATATCCTTACAAGAGAGGATAACCACAGGCAAGCAAACAAAGGGACCAGTTCTCAACAAGCTTGGTCAAATCTGATAATTCTGAGGTATTACATCAATTCTTTCTTCAGAGTGGACCAGTACAATTGGATGTCTTGTATGAAAAGCATGCCATTAAACACATTCAAAATTTCCATGATGATGTAGTCTCCTTAAGCTTCTGTAGCTGAGAATTAGAGTGTTCATATCGGCAAGGTTTTTGTTTTTATAATTGATGAATATAATTAGATTTTTTCATTTTTAGTAGAGAAATTTTTCAGAATTACCTTCAAAGAATACAGAAGATTAGACTATTAAATGTGTCATTGGTTAGCAGGACCAGTTAGAAGAATTCATGGAACTACATCAAACCAATCTTGTTTCTTTTTTTTTTCAGTTAACCATGTTGTTGCTCTTTTTCTTAGTTGTAACACTTGTGTAATTTCTATTGGTATGGAGTAGAACAAAATATTACAAATTAGTCTTCACTATAAATTGCTGGGTGTAATGTAATTAACTGATTCTTCAGTTCAGAATTATACATTGTTAACTTTGGTGTGACATGAGGATAAAACTCAATATTTTTTTGAAAATTGAAAGACTGTTTAGTAGCAAGATTTATTGTAATAACTATTTTATAAT